GGGGGGAAAACTGGCCCTCTATCCCGAAAACAAGGTCAGCTATTCATGCGGGAAGGGTCCACTTCGAAGAAAAGGTCGGGGGCATCCTGTTCTGAGTCAGCAAGGCGCGCCTAGCTGGGCTTTGCGTGTGGGCGAAGTCGAGGGAATCACAGGCGGGTTTGGCGGGTCCATGCTTCTTTTTTTCGCTGCCTGAACTCGTGATGCGCACGAACATTCCGGAGAAAAATATTCCGAGTGCCAAAATAGCAAAACTTTGGCTTTGGATCGTGAATTAAAGTGGATTTTGGATTGTAAAACAGGGTTGCCAAACGCAAGTCTCAAAAGATCACGCGTGATCGTCGAGAAACCGCCAACCGCCTCTCGGTGTGTCTGAACGGGGTCGCTCGCCAACCGCATCCGCGACCGCTTCGCGAACGCGGATCCGCTTCCAGTGTGAATGCGCCATAAGAGCTGTGCTCTAATTCGGCGTTACAGGGAGTTGTAAACAGCTTTCATTTTTTTAAATAAAAGCTAGGGTATTCAGGCAAAACCTGTTTTCTGTAGTTCACTTCAGAAGTGTCAGGAATCAACTTCCACAATTATTTAAGCAAAGCCCTGAAATAGTTGCACAGCTCCTTTAAATGCAGGCACGAAGTTGCAGTCCCGGAGATCTCCCTTGGTTTCCAAGTCTGACGTGATTCCGGGCTGAACCAAGGGCGATGAGCTGTGACCGTCTCGAACCTCGTTGAGTCGTCCCGGGCTCGTTGTTACCTCCTCCAGGCTCCTTGCTCGAAATTGAGTTGTGAGCTCGTGGCTCACTGGGATGGGTGTCCTGGAGGCTTCCACCTTTGTGGGAGCCGGGGGTAAAAGACGAGGCAGAGGGCACGTGACAGGCGGTCGGCGAAGGAGTCACGAGCTGGGGCGAGACAGTGCGAGCGGAGCGAGGCTGGTAGCTGGACAAGGAACGTCGAAGCCAGGCTGCCTAGCCTGGCCCCTAACGAACCCCGGAGCCGTCCACCAGCGAGGTCTGGAGCAAGACCGGTGG